GGTGGCCCGCGCTGGGGTGCGCCCAGCCAACCCCCCCCACACTTGTTGCCCAGCCGAAGCTGCTCCGGGGGGCAGGGGCGCAGCGACTCCCCCTTACCTGGGTGCGGAAGGGCAGCGGCTGCTCCAGCCCCACGACGCTGAGGAAGGGGATCTCCAGGAAGGCGGAGAGGAACTCCAGCTGGAGCAGCTCCTCCCGGGACCGGGGGAAGGCCAGCACGGCCGCCACCTTTTGCACCACCAGCGCCTGGCACAGCCAGCGAGCCAGGGACGCCGGGTCCCGCTCCCGGGGAGCCCCCGGCACGAGCTCCAAGCTCAGGTTATAGGGGAACCAGGTGGCCCGGCTCGCCCTGGCCAGGGCGCTGCGCACCCGGCTCTGCGCTCCCCCCGGGGGCAGCAGCGCGCCCAGGCGCACCGTGTGCCCGACCCTGGCGAGGATGTGGCAGGGCTGGGGGTGCCCCTGGCAGGGCGCCGGCAGGAGGCTGCCCGCCACCCCCACGCACAGCCAGAGCGCCCGCAGAAACTCCATCGGAAAGTTTGGGCGCCCCCCGGTGCCCCCCTGGCCCTGGGTGGGCGGCCGGCGGGGGGGCTAGGGTGGGGGAGAGGAGGCGGCGGGCGCTGGGGAGGAAGGAGTCCTGGGTGCCGGAGGAGGAGGAGGAGGAGAGGGGGCATGAGGAAGGCTGGGAGAGCGGAGGAGCTGCTGGGATCTCCAGGCAGGGCTGCCATGGAGCGTCTCCAGCAGCAGGGGCAGCAGAGGCACCAGGAGACAGACAGTAGCTTGCATTGGCTGTGGGGGGGGCAGAGATTAGGGCAGGGGGTGGGGATGGAGGGAGGGGGGCAATCATAGCAAGGCAGGGGAAGGGGGTTGAAGATGCCAGGGGAGCTGGCTGCTGGAGGCAGGAGAGGCCGAAGGGAATCCAGTGGCGAGGGGAGGCTGGCAGAAAAATGCCCCCTGCCCTCGTCCGGCCCAAGTGCCCTCCTGGAGATGCCCCCCCAACACACACACAGTGTGGAGCCTGGCTTTGCCAAGGGGTGGTGCGCAAATGCCAACGATCCTTAGCACCCTTTGCCGGGCACCGCTGGCCACTAGCAAATGTCTCAGTGAAGTTCAGAGGCCAGGCTGGCAGAGGGTGAGGGGATTGGGGGGGCGGATTATTTAGTCTCTGGCCCCTGGTGGGACTTGTCTGGAGAAACCTACAATAATAATAATAATTAATAACCCGTCTGCTTCTTCCTCTAGGCGTATCATTTTGTAACAGGAGAATGCGGATCCAATGAAAACTAAGGGCCAGATGCGGCCCCCAGGTTCCTAAAGGAGAGGCAGTCTTGTTGAGTGCTTAGAGCCATGGCTGGGCAATAGGAAACCCGTGTCCTAGTCCCGACCCTGCCACTGATGCACTGTGGCACTAGCCCCCCCCCCCCCTGGGCCTCGGTTTCCCCATTTGAAAAGGAAGACGATGGTGCAGCCCCACCTTCCCGGCGTGCTTTGAGAGCGACGGGTCTCAGGGTTATGGAGCTGCCCTCTGGGTTCCCACGTGTTACACAGAAGGCTGAGACCCCCTGGGCACTAGTGAGGCAAAGTCCACTCGCCTTTTAAGTAAAATCTCCCACAGCTGGTGCAGCTTCCCCCGTGGTAGCAATGGCAGGGGAACGAGCATAGACAGGGCACAGGCATTTTCACCAGCGTGTCCCCTTGCCCTGCTCAGAGCAGCCTGCCGGTAAGATTGTGTCCGTTTAACTCTTACGTCTTAAAAAATGCTAACAAATCCGTAGGCACCTAGGACGTCACAGCTCTCCCTGTGCTGCTGACCAGGGCCAGCTGGGATGGAACCCACAGCCTTCTAGGCACAGGGCCTAGGACTTGAGCCAAAGGAGAATCTCTGTTAGCAGGGCGGTGTCTATGACACACAGGCGAACAGTTCAGATTTCATCCACTAGTGGGCAATATTGCACACAGCAACACTAGCTAGCTCCTTGCAGCATTTATCATTGAGAGAGCGAGGGGATGCGTGGTGCTTACAAGCTTTCTGCCTTCATGAACCCGAGTATTTATCAATCAGGAAAAACCAACCAACCCTGGCCTTCTTTGAGTCCTATTGGACCAGAGCCTTTGGTTTGATTTCCTTGGGACCTATTGAGGACTGGCGCCTTCCTCTACATTTTATTTGGAAATCATTCAGTGAGTGGTGCAGTTACCTCCAAGTACGCACTGCCCCTTCGTTGTACTCACATCACCTTGTATAACACACGGGACTCACCATGCAACCCCCTCAGCCCCAGCCCAGTGTGAAGACATGCTCCCCCAGCCCACGCCGAGCTACACAACTCACAAACCACACATGCATGCACCCACACAACCCCTATACAACCCAACCTGCAAACATGTGCCCACGCCAAGCTACACAATTCAAACCACGCATGTGTGCACCCACACAACCCCTATACAGCCCAACCTGCAAACACGCACCCACTCTGAGCTACACAACTCACAAACCACGTACGCATGCACTGCATGACTCACATCACCCAAACCCTGCACAACCCAAAGCGCACGCGCACACTTTAACACAACCCAGTGCACCCGCTCCTTCCCCGGGTGTCCGCCCACTCATCTGGCACAACCCACTCCACCTCCTGCCATGCAACACAAACCTTCCATGACTGCACACGCCTCACACGCTGGCCAACCCTTGACACACTCCACTGTCCACGACTCTCAGTCACACCCCTGGGCAATCCATACGGCAACACACACCGAACCCTGCACAACCCACAGTGCATGCGTGACCTCAGCCCAGCCCCATAGCAAACCCGCCCGGCTCACACGGACACGTACCAGCACAGCTCCCTTTGTCTCCCCGGGCCCAGAGGTGCTGCAGTAGGGGTCACTCTTTCACACTTCATTAGGCATTCCCTTGGCCTTCATTGTGATAATACCCAGCCTGGGAAAGGGGCTGAAGGAGATTCAGACCATAAATCCAGAGAAATTCCAGGAGAATTGTCACTGTCTTTTAATAAGCAGAGCCCTCCCCAGCCTGCCCGTCATCTCCTCCACTGCCTTTCCCAGCCGTGCCGGCAGCGTGTGTGACCTGCATGGCAACATGGGGCCTTTTCGATAGGCACGGACTTGGCGAACATCTTGGGAAGGAGGTTGCTGGAGCGAGGTATGAGGCCGGAGCCGTGTCCCTGTCAGCGAACAACTATTCAAGAAAAAGCAATGTGCCCAGCCTGGCCCCGTGTTCACAGGCCGGGCCTGAGGGTGGACCGAAAGGGTTGATAGCTTGGCATTTTGATACCTTTTACAAACGGAAGCTTAGCGGCCCCACTGCGAGGGAGCTAAAGCAGGGTTGTGGGCCCAGATTCCCGATGGTCTGTAGGCACCTAACCCCCATTTCAGTGAGGTCCTGCCCCAAAGAGCTCAAGGCTACATAGACCAAACAGACAAAGGTGGGAGGGGAAACTGAGGCATGGAGCGGGGGAATGATTTGCCCAAGGTCAGGCAGCAGAGCCAGGCCTGGAACTCAAGTCTCCTAGATGCCAGTTCAGTGCCCTAGCCCCTGGACAGCCCTGCTGCCCCAGTGATGGATGACCCCATGTCTATTCAGCTCTGGATTTAATGGAGGAGAAAAGGGAGGAATAAACTTGTGCAGGTGACCCCCGAGGATACAGCCTAGTGTTTTACCTCTGCCGGCAACTTACATTTCTGGTGCATCATCCCACGCTCGCCCGTGACGATATACAGTTGTCATTACAGCCATGGGTGCAGTGCAGCCACCTCTGGGGTGAAACCCTGCGGCTGCTTAACAGCGCACAGTGCCACTATATAGCTGTTTAAGCCAGGAAGGGAATATCTTCTCCTGCTGCGATTGCCAGGCGCGGGGGAAGGGGGATCTTTAGGACACGCAAGCTAATCCCCCTGCTCTTGAGAGACGTGCTATGGGATCACTTCTGTAGCCCAGCTGAATGACGACACCCTCAGCCCTACACGGGGGTTAGCCCTCAGAGGGGTGCGCAGAGCCCGCACACCTCTCCGCAGCACCGTGTGGTCTCCCCTCCCACAGGGGCAAGACAAGGCCAAATGCCGCTTATCTCAGGAGGAAATCTAAGAGGATTCCCGGTAGCCGCGGCATGATAATACTGAGCTAATAAAGGGCTAATACAATTAAAATAACCCAGGCATTAGCCAGCCAGACGGCTGTGGCACGGGGACCTTCAGATGGCGAATAGGGCACAGGCAGGAGGCCAGGGCCACCCAGTTCAGTCTGGCTCAGGGCATTCTCTGGGCAACGGCCCCTGCTGAGCCCGCACTCACCCCTTGTGGTTCAAACCACTAATTCTCGCTGCCTGCCAGGACCTCCCTGTTATTAACCTTAAAGCACCAAGGACAAGCGTGCCTGCCGCTCAGATTTCTTTCACGGGGATCGGCCCCTCTGATATAGCCCTGGCACCTTCCTACGAAGGCCAGAACGCTGCTCACGCTGCCTTTGGCAGGCCACTCTCAAAAGCTAGCACCATATCCGGAGAGGATGGACAGGAGACAATGGAATCAGCTGATCGCCTACCCAGCTCGCTGCACCGTGATCATAGCGAGAGACCAGGCAGTGGCCGTGTGTGTCCTTGGGAGAGGAGCGACATGTGGCCAAGGGGGATGGATTTTCTGGTTCACCAATCTGCATTTCTGATGAGGTCCCCTCACCCCCCGAAGACAAACACCAGCTGCCAGCAGAAAGGGAAGAAAATCTATTAAATTAATAACCAAAAAACCCCCAAACCAGCCAAGTAGCAGCTGGTGAAAAATATTGATCATCAGAGAAATGTAATGAGTGAACGCAAATGAATTCCTCCCGGGCGTGATAGTGGGGGAGATCAAAGGGGAGAGCAGGAGAAGAAAACCTTTTGAAGGCCTAACGAGACCACACGGACCAGTCAACCAGCTGGGAGATGGTCCCTCCCCCACAAATGGAAATAAAGCAACTGATAATGAGATTAACAATCCAAGGGGCAGCGTGGCCAGTTCTCCCTTCTCGGCGCATGGTTTTTTTGAGTGAAGGATGGAGCGGCTTGGCAGGGGGACCTGGCAGGAGCACGGGGGCTGAATTGAAGGCGTGGGCAGCCACTCAGAATGCATCTCTGGCTCCTCTCAACCTGCCGCTCAAGGCTAGGAGGGGATGGCTGGGCAGGCTAAGCTAAGTCTGCAATGGCTACACGCCCACAGGTCCAGCGCCCAGCCATGGCTAACACAGCGATCGATGGGTGCACGATACCATCACTTCCATTCACACGAGACCCTTAATAGCTATGAGCGGCTCCGGGGCCCCACGGCTCCTCTGGACTGTAGCGGGAGCTGTGAGTGCTCAAATCCTTGGACAAATCAAACCCACGGCT